ACGGCCGACAGTAGGCGGCGCAGAGGCGCAGAGGCGCAGAGGACTCTGCTTGTGATGTGTGTTCGGGACGTCTGACGTCTTTCGGGCCTGTACCACCTGGACAACCTAACCTTTGTGCGCAAGGTCGAGGTCGAGACGCCGTGGGGCAAGCCCTCTTCGCCCATTACCATTTCCTCCCTTCCGGACGGCTCCCAGGTCGCGTTCATCTCCCGGCACGGCGCGGCGCACACGATCACGCCGTCCGAGGTGCCTGCGCGCGCGAACATTGCCGCTCTGAAGCATCTCGGTGTGCGTGCCGTCGTCGCGTTCAGTGCCGTCGGCTCGCTCCGCGAGGAGATCGCCCCGGGCCATTTCGTGATCCCCGATCAGATCATCGACCGTACCAAGGGTATTCGCCCCGACACCTACTTCCGCGGCGAGGGCCTCGTCGTGCACTCCATGTTTGGCGAGCCGTTCTCGCGCCAGCTCAACCGCTTCATCGCCCCCAAGGTCAAGGAGATCCTCGACAAGGAGGGCGTCAGCGTGCACACTGACAAGACGGTGGTTTGCATGGAGGGTGAGTTTCACCGAATGTTGTGGAGACTTGTGAGACGAATTGTCTGGGAATATCGAGTGGCGCCGCCGCGCGCCGCATGCGTCTGGCATACGGGCGGTGCCTTGGCTTTGTTGGCATGTGGCCTGCTCGGCCTGCTCGAGACACACCAGCCTCATCTCGCTCCTCGCTCCTCGCTCCGCACTCCGCGTACTCCGCACTCCGCACTCGCTTCGCTCGTGCTAACCCCCAGGCCCGGCCTTCTCGACCCGCGCCGAGTCCCTGATGTACCGCCAATGGGGCGGGGACATCATCAACATGTCGGTGATCCCCGAGGCCAAGCTGGCGCGCGAGTGCGAGCTCGACTACGCGCTCATCTGCACCGCGACCGACTACGATGCGTGGCGCACAGACGCCGAGCCCGTCACCGTCGAGGAGGTCGTCAAGACGCTGCACACGAATGCGGGCAACTCGCGCGCCGTTGCCGCCGGCATCCTCGAGGACGTGTGCAAGCATGTTGCCGCTGGAGAGCTCACCGAGATTAAGGGCAGCATGCAGTTCGCTTGCGTGACCAGGAAGGACGTCCAGCCCAAGGCGGCGCGCGAGAAGCTCAGCTTCATCCTGCCGTACTTTTCCGACTGAGGTGGGGCTAGACTACACATGCATATAAACTACTAGACTGGAAATCATCGATACAGGGGCATTTAGGCACAAGGGATAGGCTACAGCTCACTAGGTTTGCGCTCACGCACTCGCTCTCGCTCGTGCGCACGGCTCACGGCTTCTCGGGCACATACGGTTTCCCGAGGATGGGAAACTTGCACGTCTCGCTCTCGCGGCACTTCTCCCACATGATGGGCGGATAGACGAGTTTCTTCCTCTGGCGGAGGATGGCATGGTACTCGCCCTCCCAGTCCGTGTAGAGCCATTCCCGCGTGCGCTCGCCGAGGCTCTTCAGCGTCATCTCGGGCGGGACGTAGCTGTCAATAGGCGTCTTGACGGCCTTCTTCAGCTGCTCAATCATGTCGTCCACCGTCCGGTACGCGTACACGTACGGCTCGCCCGCCTGCATGGCGGGGCCGTGCTGTGCCCACTTGTCCTTGAAGAGCGCCCAGCCGTCGGGCGTCGGCCCGTCGTCCGTGTAGTACGGCAGCACGACGGGGACGCCGCGGCAGAACGAGTTGTAGGGCGACGGCGACAGCTGTGGGTTGCCCATCCCCAGCAGCGCGCGCGCACTGCTCAGCGTCTTGCCGTACTCCACCTTGTCCATGGTGGGGAGCCGCTTCAGGCCAGCCGGGAGGGGGCTGCCGTCCTCCTCCTCTGCGCCGGTCCAGATCTCGATCCCCTCGGCCTTCATGGCGTCGACGATGCGGGCCCACGCCTCGATCGGCGGCGCGGTCGGCTTGTAGAAGTAGTGGCTCAGCTTGGCCAGCAGGAGCACGCTGGCGTTGCGCTGCTCCCACGGCACGGTCGGCGAGCCGAGGCACGTCCGCTCGATGGACAGTGGCAGGTGCGTGTGGTTCGGGTACGCCCACGGCACAACGTGCCACCGGTTGTCGAGAATGTGCGAGCTCCACGGGCTCTCCCCGTCCTCGCTCTGCCCGTACTGTCCGTACGCGTGCTGCCCCTGTCCGCTGTACCGCGACGGCCGGTCGCCCCAGTACGACGTGATGACGACTCGCCACGCGGGCAGCTTGCCCTCCTCGCCCGGCGTCAGCAGGCTCGTGTCGTGCCGGAACTCGGGGTTCTCGTGCGGGTGGTAGTCCTCGGGACGCACACAGCGCGGATCGCTGAGGCACTGGAACCCCACTCGCGTCGTGGGCATGTACATGTGGCTGGGTGTGTGTCAGCCGCTGCGCCTCTTGATCTCCGCGCCCTCAGATCGCGATCTCGCAATCTCGCAATGTCTGTCACACTCACATAGATTCGGAAAGCAAGCGGGTCGCATTCCAGGACAACGGGGTGTCGACCCAGTTGCCCGCAAAGTGCGTGAAGCCCATGGCAACGAAGCCCTCGTCCTCGATGGCGTTAACCTGATCTGTTAGCTGATTCTTGGGGACTGGCCAGCTGCTTCTCGCTCATATCGTCGACGTCACTTACAACGGGATCGAGCCAGATGGCTTCGCCAGAGTTGCTCTGCTTGCGAATGAAAAAGTACCAAAAGTCGGAGATGATGAGCGGCCGTTCGGGACAGTTGACGATTCCGAGGACGCAGCGCTCGAGCTTCTCGAGGGCTTCCTCCTGCTCGTGCTGCAGCTTCAAGCCAGAGACGCGCAGTTTCTGGATCTGCCGCAGCTGCCGCGCGCGCAGACATCCCGGCGGGTCGTGCTCCTCGCTCGCATGCGGGTCCCAGCCGGCGCAGGCGTCGGGTTCCGTTTTGCCCAGGAGGCCCTGGAGGCGGTTGTAGGTCGAGCCTGGTGTCGGGACGGGGTACGAGGGATACTGGCGGTGCAGCTCGTGATCGGTGTGGGTGAGGGCGGTGAGGAGGGAGATGGACAGCCAGGCGCTGATGCCGATGGCGACGAGGGCGGCGAGGTTGAGCGGCCGCGATAGCGACATCGACAACATTCGGTTAAGGTTTTGTGCGTCGGTGCAAGAAGGAGTGAATGATATGTCAAGTTAAGAAAAGAACGTTGTGCAACGAGGAAGACTGTTCTGTACGCAGCAGCTGGCCTGTCAGTAGTCCAGGAAACAGGGGACACGGTCGTGCAGTGAGTGTGCGCTGCTGCGGGCGAGTGCGTGTGAGGAGGGCATGCCGATCCGACCACTGCAAGCTAGCACTAGTGGGACCAGGACCAGCAGGAGCAGGATGTCAGGGCACCCACTCCCTTCTGCAGAACGTATGCAAGGTGTGCCCCTCAGAACAGCTGCTGACGTATTGATTCTGCATCACTACGGTTAGAAGTTTGCGCTCTACGTCAGCCGGAGGGACGGAGAGGACGACCTGTGTGTGCATGTTGCGATGGGCTGAGATTACCGCAGCAGGGGCGCGGGGAGGGCGACAGGGTGGGTGATCATGCTTCCCTTGCCCTGCGTGCTCGGCTGTCCCTGGCTGGCCCCTGATCCCTACAATGTTAGTATCCATCCCAAACTGCAGAGCCGAAACTGGCCCCAGTTCATGCGGACATGTGAGGCCGAGAGGAGGCCAGGAGGAGGAACAATTGGAACAACTTGTCAGCAGTAGGCGGCGCAGAGGCGCAGAGGCGCAGAGGACTCTGCTTGTGATGTGTGTTCGGGACGTCTGACGTCTGGGGCTTTGGACCTTGCATTCAATTTTCAGGCTCTCGGACACTTCGACTTCGGACACAGGTACGCGGGACTTCCACCACTCGCACACTCAAAGCAGGAGGCTTCTTGCGTTTCAGTCATGCACCGCAGTGCATGGAATTGAGGGGAGAGACATGCACGGTCCCATCACTCTCCCATCCGTCCCGCAGTTCCCACCACGATTGGAATAATGTCGGCAGCCTTCAACCCACCACGCTATCGATGCTTATGTTCAGGAACGAAGGCAGCGCACTCTGATCTTCCGTCTTTTTACCTTGAGCATATCGTTGTCCCTAGGCAAGCTGGGCGGTCAAGTTCGCGCGCCGTGGGCAATTAGGCTCAACGGCAGCCCAGATACGCTCTGGTGCGGCAAGTGCTGGCGCGTCATTCCAACCCGGTCGGACGCAGATTTGGGCTGAAGAGGGTCTTCAGGAACAACCTACCCGAACATAGGCTATTTAAGGTTGAAAGCTTGTCTTCCTCTCCTCCAGAGCCGCGGTGCACGCAGCACGCCGTCGAGCGCCGTTGCCACAGCCTCCGGCCAGCCGCAAGACTCTGCACCTTACGGGATTCCACATGCTGTGCACTTCTTGCGTTCGCCAGCTGGTCTGGTTCGTCCGACTCAAGCCGGCGGGCGCGCATGCCAACTGTGACACGTTCTCAGGGTGATTTGGTTTCCTCGCGTCGCGAGCAGAGTACGCAAGCTTTCGCAGACCACAGTACACATTTCTCGGCGGGAAAGGAGTGAGGAGCAGAGCTGCACCGCGCGAGATGGGTCGGGCAACTTCAGCTAGGAGATAAGGTCTGACATGATACAACAAAAGGAGGTAGGATAACGGAAAACAGCGTCACGAGGAAGACTGTGAAACTTTCCACCTGCCTTCCTTTGGCTGTCCCGCGACCTCCAGCTGGAGTGCACATTCACGTAACTTTCGCGCCGGCCCCTGGCATCTGTCGCGTTCAACCCTCTCGGTCGGCCGGTTGCAGCTTCTCCTCAGCCAGTCTGCACCGTCCAATGACTTCTGATATGTAACACGTCGAGTGCGCTCGACTCTGATCTACATAACCTACCGGAACGTCAGCCGAGAGCGGCCCGATGTCCGAATGGGGGCGCGCACTATCGCATTCTACGCGTATTTGCTTCAAGCCACTTACCGATAGCGCGTGTAAGCGCGTTGCGTTAAAATGGAAGCTGTGCATAGATGATTGCTGACAGCCGTACGGCAAGAGCGAAGCACGTTCCACGAGTCTCGACCATTCCATTCACAGGATATAGAAGAGTTCAGACGGTTCAATGCGAAGGCGCCCCCCGGTGAAGGGCGTGCTGGCGCCTTGTGTGCAATTGTGTGGTCATCCTGACAGCGACTGCCGTCCTGCCACGGCTTTCAACCGGCAATCACATTCATACCGCGAGACCGCATATAGATTTTTGTTCGGAAAGATCGCCGTTCTTCACCTCCGAATGTGCACTTCTGCGCGTTCGTCGCCCACAACACTGACCTCGACGTCCTTCTCAACGGAGGTCGCCACACTCGCCGCTTGGATGAGTGACGTCACGTGACCGTACTCACCTCCACCGTCACGTCCGTTACGAACGTCACGAAAGGACCTCCAGACGTTCCGTCAACATCCATCCCGAGCAGCAGCCAGATGCTTCCCCTCGCCCTTCTTGCGCTTCTCTCCCCAGCTTCAGCGGGAGAGGTGATTTTCACCCCAGATGCGCCGACGCCCTCGCTTCCCTCTTGCCTGCGTTCGGCGTACCACGGCGAGTTTGGCGGAAAGCACGTCTACCTCCCCACCTCGGAATGTCAGCAGGAGTTCTCCTCTGGCTCGATCGTCGAGGTCGGTTCTGACGACGCCATTGTCTGGGTTACCCGTGCTGGACTCGAGGGTGATGACAACTCGCTCATCGGGGACCTCTTCGCCCCATCTGCCCGCGCGGAGGACGGCGCTCAGGCGGTGATGCAGGCGCCCTCGCCGCTGAGCTTCCTGCACGCCGATGACGAGTCGTTCTTCCTCTCAATTCCGCGATCTGACCTGCAGCGACTCGACAGCCTGCTCCCGCGCCATCTGTCGAGCGTCGTGCTTGGCGGCCCCGTCCCGCTGGATGGACGCTGGGAGGTCCCGAAGAGTGCGCGCAAGCACCTCACCAAGCTGATTGACAACCTGACCTTCCGGCCCGAGGTCGACGACCTGCTCGACGAGCTCAACGTCGACGTCGTGGCGAGGCACGTCCGCTACCTGACCGGCGAGGCAGAGGACTCGCCCATCCGCTCCCGGCACGCGATGCACCCCGATGCGCGCCTCGCGGGTCTCTACATCCGTGACAAGATGACCGAGGCTGGATTCGAGTGCAGCGGCTTCCCCGTCCTGCCCGAAGCTGGGTGGAGCCCGTCGGTAGTCTGCGCTCTCGCGGGCCAGGACTCGACCGACCAAGTCGTGATCAGCGCGCACTACGACTCGCGCGGCAGCTTTGGATCCGTCTACGCGCCCGGCGCCAACGACGACGCGAGCGGCACGGCGCACCTCCTGACGCTCGGCGAGGTGATCGGGTTCAACAAGCTCAAGTTTGAGAAGACGCTCGTCCTCGCCTTCTGGAGCGGGGAGGAGCAGGGGCTCCTCGGCTCGCACGCCGCCGCCGAGTATCTCGCCAAGCAGAACGCGACCGTCACCATCAACGTCCAGGCCGACATGCTCGGCTACCATGTGCCAGGCGAGCCGCCGCAGCTCGCGCTCCCCGAGAAGATTGCGACGCCTGAGGCGTCATACCTCGTCTCAAACGTCAGCGCACTGTACGCGCCCACCCTCGTTGTGGGCCGTACGGGAGCGTGCTGCACCGACCACCAGAGCTTCCTCACGTTTGGCTTCCCCGCCACGGCGCTCTTTGAGCGCAACGGGCCCATCGCGGACCCCATGTACCACAACTCGGGCGACCTGTCGGACCGCGTCGGGTATGACTTTGAGCAGATCAAGACAATTGCGCGCGTCACGCTCGCGACGGCGATTGAGGCGGCGGGCGCCAAGCTGGGCAAGAAGTAGTAGACGATAGATGCTTTTTAGTATATCAGAAGTAGAAGGTACAGTAACAGGGCGGTGACTCTAGATATAGCTCGAATGCATTCCAAGATTATGAATTCGGGATGTGGTGTGTGGGTTTGCTTTTACTTGTACAAAATAATGCTTTGGTGTGCGTCTACAATGTCTCATATGGATGATTGGGGGATGATTACAGCTTGTCCTTGATCTCGTCGTTGTAGCCCTCGACCTTCATGTCGCTGAGGCCGAGGTCGTCGTTCTGCTCCTGGGAGCGCTCGTACTCCTCGATAGTCATGTCGGGGTCGGGCTCGGGCGCATTCAGGTTCTGGAGGTACGAGTTGCTAAGGGGGTCGTCGAGGATGACGGTAAAGTCCTGGTCGACGGCCATGACGTTCTTGAGCCCCTGGAGGAAGGCCTCAAAGTTGCGCGTCTCCTTGCCGTGGTCCTGGCCCTCCTGGCCGATACCTGCCGTGGCCGAGTCGCCCGTCTTGAAGACCTTGGTCGAGAGCTCGTCGTAGATCTCGTTCAGGATGCCCTCGAGCGTCGTGAAGCGGCCGCCGAGCGTACCCGGCTGCAGCTTGAGGTCGATTTCGGGGATCTCGAGACCGCAAGTGTCCGACTTGAGCAGGTCGCGCGACAGCGCGTCCTCGTCGCCCTTCTCGACCTTGAGCGTGATGCGCTTGCCGAGCGGCTTGATGCGGCCCCCAGACTTGACCTCGTTGTCCTTGTAACCGCACGTCGGGCACGTGGCGGACATGATAATGACGTCGTCAAAGTACGGGATGCGGAGTTGCTGCATGCGCGTCTCGAGCGTGTGGCCGCACGAGGAGCAGGTCGAGGGGAAGGTGAAGACCTCGTCGGGGGCGACGGAGCCGTCGCTGTGCTCGAGCGCCTTGATCGTGCCCATCGCCTCCTCGGCAGTCATCTTCTTGTGGTCGTCCGGGACAGCGTCGGCAGCCTTGGCCTTCTCGCCGTCCTCGGGAGCGACGAGGCCGAGAGCGACGTTCTGGTCCAGGGTACGGTTGTAAGCACGGAGGTTCCACTGGGGGTCGTTGGTCGTGTCCTTGAACGCGACGAACGAGTTGCCAGACGGGTCGTCGAGAGTGAGCGTGAACGGCTTGAAGGGGCGTCCCTGGCCCTCGCTCTCGGTTTGAACCGAGGGGTCGTCACGGCCGACACCTCCGTCCTCGTCGCTCTCGCTGATGTCGAGAATGTCACGGATAGGGGCAAGCAGGTCGTCAATCTTCTTAGCCGTCGGCGGGTCCATGATGCGGCGGACGGGCTGCTCGATCGAAAGGTCGCGGACAGTGTCGCGGAGGAGACCCTCGACAGTCGTGAGCTGGCCGCGTCCCGGGGGGATGGTGAGCTGAAGGTCGGGGACGGTGACAGTGGCCCAGTTGCTCTTGACGACCTGGCGCTGGAGGTCGTCGCGCGTGAGCAGGTGCACGGTGTAGATGGCGCCCTTGGGCTGGATCTCGCCGGCCGACTGGATCTCAGTGTCGCGGTGTCCACAGTGCTCGCAGAAGAACGACGAGACAATGATCTCCTTGAAGTAGGGGATCGTCGTCAGGAGCAGCCGCGTCTTGCCGTTCTCGTGACAACGCATGCACATCGACTCGACCTCCTGCATGTCGCGCGAGCCCTCGGGCACGTCCGCGTCCGCAGCGTCCGTCCGCGAAGCCACGTCGCCCAAGCTCGGGAACAGATTCTCCTTTGCCGGTTGCTGTTGCTGGTCCGTCACTGTTGCGTGTCAGCTTTCGCCCACATCGAAAGGTGGATTGGGGGTTTTGTGATCAGTCGTTTAGGCATAGGTTTGGTTTCACGGCCGCCCTCGAGGAGCGACCTTTCAAACGCAAATTACATTGAACATCTTCTCAGCAGCGCCTCCACTGTTTGGCGCCGCTCGAACGCGTCGAGCGAGCTCGGAAACTGGAGACAAGAAACTCACTCTTTTTGGTTTGATGGATGGATACGAATGAGGAACGGTTGTATGACGCTACGAAATTTCTCTTATAATGTCCACCCAAATTTTCGTTACGTAACGTAACCCCCCACCACACGGAATTTGCGAGATGACGCCACGCTCATCTGCGCCCCCTGCCCATTTTGCTATTGCTCCATCCTCGAGCGATCCTGAAGCTCTGACCTGGACGTTGGTTCGCTGTGCACGCCTGACGCCGCTGACGAGCATGAAAGAGGGCACTGTGCTGACTGATGTGGCTCCGGCGTTGACCGATAGCTTCCTGTTCTGCGCGGGACATCGCGGGGATCGACGTGTGGCTTACAATGGAGTCGTCTGGTGTCCTCTTGTCTCCGAGAACGAACCACGAGAGACTGACAACAATAGATTCCCAGAACATTGCTGTCTCACTGGTACAGTTCTGGAATCGTCAGTCAGCATGCTTATGGCTTCCAATGGCACACCCTGGCTTCGTTATGCGAAACCATTCCGACATTGCGGCCTTCAGAACTCAGTCGAGCGACATCGGGCATCTCACTCAGACACCCTGTCTCTGACGACGCCGGCGCCGAGCCTGGCCCAGAACTCGACGCAGCCGGACCCGTCTTCAAGGACCCCATATCTCAGTGCCCGTAAAAGATAAGATAAGCCATCGTGTGCGAAGGTGAGTCCGGAAAGCACGCAGCATGTTCGTGGTGCTCGCTGTTGTGAAACAGATGGAATGCATTGAACGTATGTAACACCACTATGACACCTCCTCGCCCACAACCCGCGCCGGCGCCCAGTTACCACTCAAAAGGAGCTGGCACTTAGACTGTGACGCCCCCCAGCCGTGGCTGGAGGCATTGAAGGGTAGAGCAAGCAGGCTCTAAATGTGATGGTTGTTCAATCTTCGCTGACCGGATCGCCGCCATGCTCATGGAAGGAGCAGACGGCACTGTCTATTTGGGTAGCGTGTATGTAGAGGTGATTCGTTTGCCTGTGTTGAGCAATGTCGTCTCTCGGTTTGATCAGTTTGATGCTGCTTGAAGATCGCGAAGCTAGAAGTCAGTTGCACCTTGATACCCTTGAAACCTTGCAAGAAAACCCGATTGTCATGTCCGTCCCTCTCGCCGAGGTCGTATGTGCAATGATGGTACATGCGCCAACTACTACCCGGCCAACATGTTCCAACCCGTCTAGGCCTCGTCAACAACGACGTTGGTGCGCTCAGAGATGCTGGATGGTTAGTTACTGATCGCAAGACAGCGGGAACTCGTTCTGTTTGTACTCACTAGATACCGTCAAGGAACTTACGGATATCCTTGTTCTTGACACGGCACTTGTCGGTGATCGAGGCAGCAGACTGAGAGACCTTCTCGATGTCGTTGCCCTGGAGGATGATCTCGTCCTTGACGTCGGAGAGCGAGACCTTGGTGCCCTCGAGCATAGGGCACTCACGGACGAACTTCTCACCAAGGAAGTTACGGATCTGGATCGAGGATCCGTCGTCGGCGGGGATAGCGTTGATGGGGAAATGCGCGTAGACGAGCTTCATCTTGTAGAGGAAGCCCTTGGTAACACCAATGACCATGTTCTCAACAGCCGACTTGATGGTGCGGAGGCAAGCAACGTGCTTGCGGCCACCGTGCCAGATGGTGAAGATGACCTTGTTGCCGTTCTACATGTCAGCGCGCGGTCGCACAAGACCTCCGGGAAAGATTGGGACACGAATTCGGGCTCGACGCAGATCCTCCAAAGACATTCTTCCACCTCCATCTCTCACTCGTCTCACACGCGCAGAGTGTCGTGCAACGCCGCCTTTCCGTCCTCAGTCCGTCTTCGATGCCTGCTCCCCTCGTCATCCGTCATAGATCCCTCTCTCCCCTCTCAGAAAAACTTTCCTCCCCTCAGACGACTTCCGATTCCCTTCTCTGCGCGAGCCCGTGTCCTTCTCCTTCCCGTCGCTTCGTTGCGACTTACGACCTGGATGTCCATGGCGACGTGGCCGACGTTCTTGTGGAGAGTTCCCCTCGGTCCCTCGACGGTGACCTTGCGGGCCTTAACCTTGATGGAAACGCCGGCGGGGATGGTGAGGGTCTCAACCGAAGAAAGGTCCTTCATTTTGGCCTGTTGGTGTGTGGTTTCGCGATGTCCAGAGAGAGAAGCAGATCCAACAACACAGCGCAATCAATCGGGCGGGGTCGAGTTGAGGCGAGCAGCAATTCGAGAATCGATAGTAGCCAATCAAGCCAAAGTTTCGCAGTCGCAGGATTCAGTCGGCGTTTAGGGATCGGGTGATGATAATTTCGAGATGGAAAAGCGCGCAGTTCGTGTGTCGTCGTCGGGAGTCGTCGCGATAATGTCAGCAATCACTCTCTCGTCGTCGCTATGCCTGCCTACGCACGAGATTTTTGACGGATGGAGAGCGAGCAACGACGCCGTTCAACGTCTAAACCTCGCCTGCAGCCTGCGCCGGCCAGACCTGCTCCGTATGTGGGGGGACCGAATTGCGGGGCGAAACTCCCTGTCGGACATTGACCACGTGGCAAATTCTTACAGCCGACAGTCTCGCTTCGCCGCCTCCCTCGCCCTGAAATGCGACCAACTGGCCGTGGTGAGCCAGCAGCCTTAGTACAACTGTGTGCAGGTTGTGGTCTGGGGGCGTGGCGCCTGGTCCGTGGCGTTTCACGCTGTCTTCTGATGCCATCACTGCAGCTGCACGCAGCGCCGGAAACCGCAGTTGCGCAGCACTTGGCTTGCGATGCAGCATTGCGAGAGGGGAGGTCCGTGTGATGACTGTCCTCTGGCGGCCAGTTTTTGGACGAGAATGTCAGCCAGCCCAGCAGACTGCCAGCCTCCGCGATCTCCGAGACAGCTGGAGGCGGCTGCAACGGGCTCGTCGCTATCCCCGGCGCCCGGTGCCTCTCCGATCGATCTGCCTCCAGCAGCGACAGCCCTTATCAGCGCCCTGCAAGTCATCCTCATGCCAGGACTTGACACATTGGCGCTTAGTGCTCCAGGCTATGCGACATGCGTGGCAGAAGATTGGCTCGAGACACTGCCAGTGCGGTGTGTGCGATGTCTTGATCTGTCTGACTTTCTGGCCCATTCCGGTCCCGGGCCCGTTCCCAAAACGAGTTATGTGAGACCAATGCCGCCGGCTGCACACACGCTGTTGCAGCCAGAGTATCCAGAGGTGCACGGCGCACACACGCCACCACGTTGCACGCCGCCGCTGCCGTCGCTCGCTGGCTCGCTAGCTCGCTGCTGCTTGTGCGCGGCGTGCCTGAAAACTGCCAGTGTGGCAATAGTCGCAGATAATGGCCAGTGTGTGTCTGACGCAGCCGGAACACGCCGGGAAGCAGCGCGCATCAGGCCTGGCGGCCTTGCAGCCTGTTGTCAGTCGCTGATGGAGGAGCACAAGTTGCATGGTCTTTTACTGCACGCCGACGGTATGCGGACGACCAAGGTTCGAGACAGTGAGACAGTGACACGGCGGCGGGCGAGACATCCTTGCGCTGAACCAGCGCCGCCGGTGCGAGCGCTTCATGAGCGCGCATGATCTCTTTGTCGGAGTGCACCGTCCGCTGGCGATTGATCGCAAAGAGGTAGTTTTAATGGCGGCCTTGAAAGACGACTTTGGTGCGAGCAGACCCAGCCCGTTCTGTCCATTGACCACCCTCAGCCATTGCTACGCTTCAGAGTGCTCCGGGCGACCTCTGCCACCTCCTGCGCTCGACGTCCCCTATCACTCCCCTGGCGCTCCCTGGCCCCCTCCTGTCGACGACGTGCTCCGTCGTCTTTGTTTGCGCCGAGCACCACCCGCCAACCTGCCCAAAGCAGGTCGCTATCCGTCTCAGCCTCCAGTGGCCCCTCGCTCAGCCCTTGCCAGCCTCCTCGACAGCCTCCTCGAGTCTCCGAGCCCCGCGTTGACCGCTGCCACCTGGGACGCTTCAAAAGTGGCTTTGTCGTGTTCGCCAGCTTCCACTTTTGCTCAAGTCTCGCACTCGACGTTTGTCGACGCCCAACAACACTTTCATCAGCGCCGTCGGGACAACCAGTAAGTGTGTCGCGCTGATGAGTGTGATCAGCACTGATGACAGTGTCGTCGCCGGTCACGCCTGCCCGTTTTCCAGGGAGTGACCTGAGTTATCTGCTGAGTTTCTCGCCCACCAGCCCGATCAAAGCGCTCTACTACGCCGAGGGCGAGAGCGACTCGGACAGCGACACGGTCGTGAGCTTGACGTGAGTGCAGAGGGCCGCAGGGACGAAAGCGATGGTTGTGGCGGCGGTTCTGATGGCTCTATCGTGCCACGCTTGATGAGGACTTTCATGACAGTCTGCTCGGCACCAAGTGCATCGCTTCATAGGTAGGTTTCTTTGCTAACGCCACAGACCCGTCACGCCCAAACGGCCCCCGACGGCCCTCCCCAACCCCCGCCCAGCCTGAACCGCCCCAAGCCCCGCGCGCTGACGCTGCACCCGCGCGCGCTGACCGCGTCGCTGGGTCTTTCGGCGCTGAGTGGCAGCGGCGGTGAAACAGATGGAATGCATTGAACGTATGTAACACCACTATGACACCTCCTCGCCCACAACCCGCGCCGGCGCCCAGTTACCACTCAAAAGGAGCTGGCACTTAGACTGTGACGCCCCCCAGCCGTGGCTGGAGGCATTGAAGGGTAGAGCAAGCAGGCTCTAAATGTGATGGTTGTTCAATCTTCGCTGACCGGATCGCCGCCATGCTCATGGAAGGAGCAGACGGCACTGTCTATTTGGGTAGCGTGTATGTAGAGGTGATTCGTTTGCCTGTGTTGAGCAATGTCGTCTCTCGGTTTGATCAGTTTGATG